TGTCCAACTGCACTACGAACATGTCAGAATTTTCTCACATTTTTCGCAAGGCGTTAATATAGGCGTTAAATAAGGAAAAACCTCAAAAAACTAATTTTTCGAATTTTCCCGATTACTACCCCCCTGGTTGAGATATAGGGCTAAAAATTGGAGTGAACGTTTCTTTTCTGATAAGCTATCGAATGGCGCAAACGTCGCTTCATTCGGCTCAAGGGCACATTTGACCCCCTTATCCAGCTAGGTCCTTTTTTTAGTGCACTTTGCGACTTTTATTGTGATGCATTTTTCACATTTATCCGTTGGAGTTGAAGAACCAACCTATACATCGCGTGCATCCTTTGTTAAGTGGGGCTCGGAAATTATGTCAAATTATGAAATGCGACTGTTTGCCTCGATAGGCAAATTAGTTCGGAAAGAGTACTGCGCGGAATGGCCCGGCTAGAGGCTTATCGGGTCATTAAATCGAATTTACTGGATTCATCGTTTAATTCGGTACCCTGCCGCGAACGTGCCTGCTCGTGGTATTTACATAAACCGTTAATTGTTAGATTGCACGCTGCACGTTAGAGGAATTTAATAACGGCATTCCCGTCGCTCGTTTCCTGTTCCCTTCATACGACGAATACATGAATTTAATACGAAAGTGTTGGAATAATTCGAAACGATCCATATCGATTTTTTATAAAAATATGATTTTCTATGCGAGACGTCTTTATATCATGTAAGAGAATTCATTTGCTGCCGTAATTGAAAAAGTATTGAACACTTACCTCGACTTTTCCCAGAAGATGGCTTCTTTCGAATTGCTGAAATGGATCAAGGTAAGAAATAAAACTGAAAATATATTTAATCGATCGTATTTCGCCTGATAATTTATTACAATTTATACAGATTATAAACCGGTACCTATGTGTCCCGTTCTTCGTTAGACACTTTAAAATGAGCGGATATTGAATAAAACGGCGCGCGGCGCTCGTCGCTGCGCTAATGTTGTCGCTCTCGTTATCAGTTACAATAATATTAGTTTACCCTTGTACGTACGTTTATATATTCTTGACGCACTTAATGAACACTGGGATCGTTAGACGTATACGCGAAAAAAACGAAAAACGAACCTATCAAAATATATGTATTTAAGAAATCCAACAATAACGATAACAACCATCACAGCATGGATGAAACTAGATAATTAAGCTAGGGGAGGACGATTGATAAACGCAATCGTTTTATTTCTGGGATGTACAATGCATGCAGGAGGCTGCAATTTAAAAGACATAACATTCTTTCATTCTCTCGCAGATCCCATCGCCATCGCACTATTTCCTCACAGTTTCATCGCGTTTTACTACGTACACGCGTTCGGATTCACAAGACTTTTCATCTTTACATTTACACTTTACACAGTACAGGCTGGAACATGTGATATGGTAACAGCGCACCATCAGGCCGACAAGAAGCCGTTCGTATTATGTGCAATAATTATTTTTTTGTAATTAATGAGTTTATTTTAATTTACAAATGTTTAAATGTCATTTATAAGTTTAGTGTATCATTGTAATTATTTAAGTGCCATAAATAATATATTAATATGTTGGAAACAGAAATAATACGGTGAAAATGACTATAACCTCTATTTTATGTACGACAACTTTGTAGTATTTGCATTGTTTAATAAATATGAACCTGTGATGAATTAGCACGACCTATTGAAAGCATGTTTCTCGTACGTTTTACAGATGCCAGACAAATGTTGTATTTCTAATTGTAATAGCAATTATGCAACGTCAAATGTAAGTGTAGCATGTTAAGTTGTTCTTGTCTTTTCAAAAAATGTATGAAATTGTTTTATTTTCAGATCTTAAATGA